TTTGCGAGGAACAGGGAAGGCCGGGAATCTCGGTTGGCTTAATGACGAGAAAGAACAGGTAATTCAAGACATAAGCGCGCCGGTGAAAGAGAAAGTGCGCGTGAGGTTAAACGAGAGATTCGGACATCGGACCGCGGTTATCGCCATGTTATCACGCGCAGCAACCGTCTTTACATACGGTACACATCATCGAATTTCGAATAAGAACAGAAATCGTCTTTGTCCTAAACCAAATTCTCCAAACATTTCATCTTGTTCGATTCAATTTAATTCAATTCCATTTATTTCTTATTTTTAATAGAAATCAATGTTATTTATTCTTATTTCTAACAGAGGCAAAAGGAGGGAAAGGAATTCTTTTCATTATTTTATAATATTTCGCATATTCAATAGATCATCAACCAGCGATACTGATTTCCGATTATATCATATATCTACGAATTAGAAATTAAGACTTATAACTTGGTTTTTACTCGATCTTAATCGAGCAGCAATAACAAATAGAATATCAAGCTAAACTCCAACATTTTATTTACAAAATGTGGAGATTACCTAGTTGAATAAGATTTCTCAAATTTTATCGGCGAGTAATTTAATGTTTATGAACAGAGCACTACATTTCATACAATTAGACTACGCAATACTGGAATATATTAAACGTATTCTTCTTACAAAATCTCGCTTTTGTTTCAATAGAGATATACGACAGTACTGTCGATACCCTACAACAATGCCTCGCGATGCTAATCAGATAGAATTACGTACGGATCGAATGTACAATGGAGTACAATGAACAAATATATATTTTGTCTCATTGTATGTGCTTCCAGTTAAACATTTATCGTAAAATGTGCCATCCAATGTTGATGCAGTTATATTTCAAAAAATTTAATTATTTAAACTTGTCTCGTAATAAATTTCATGTACGCACACGCACACAAAATATAAATTTTTTTCATTTCCAAGTAGAACTACTAACTCATGGCTGAGAACGACTGCGAAATGCGATATCCAAGCACGCTTTTTACACGGGAAAAATCTAATATTCATTTTGATCGCACCCGATTGTCCCACTTTTACTTCGGTTGATTTCACTCCGAAAGTTTCCCCGAGTGTTTTTTTAATTCCCCTAGATAGACGCAATTTAGCCACAAACTTGTATACATATAAATACTATATACAATACTAGACCTTTGAGCTGAAAAGCGAAGCAAGAGTTCCACCATGTCTTGTTAGCAGGGTTGGAAAGTAACTCGTTACTTGTAACAAAGTTACAGTTGCTTTTTTTGGTAACTCCAACTTAATCTCGTTACTTTATATATTTTTAAACCTCCATAGATCGCATTAGGCCTTGCATTTGCGCATAAACGCCTTTATCGACACTTAACAATTGAAATGCAGATTTGATATTTTTATTTTGATTGCAAGAAAGTAACTGCAAAAAGTAACGATTCGTTACTTTTTTAGTAACTGTAACTAGATACTTTCGTAAAGTAACTTTGCCAACCCTGCTTGTTAGGTAAATATCTGTCAGTGACTGACCCAAACCGATGCACACATGCTACTTTATTTACCTAACAAGACATGGCGGAGCCCTTACCTCACTTTCCAGCTCTAAGATAGTAGTTTAGTAGTATATGTATAGAAGTCTGTGGATTTATTCGATTACAATATTGACAACATGACAAATTCTTTGTTATCTTATTATATCTGCTTATTTGTTAAAGAGTCGTCTTTCAAGATAATAAGCGACTCGAAAATAAAACAGCAATTCAATACGTATCTCCATTATTAGCAATAAAATGTATCATTACGATACAAAAGATGAAAAATTCTATATCTGTATCTGTCGATCATAAATCTCGATTTAAGTAGATCTCCGAGAAAGACTGCGTGATCGATAAGACTTGAAGAGAGACTCTATTTGTACACAACGACGAGAGAATTTTTCCTGAGCGATTCATACGAATATCCACACGAATGATCCCTGGTAAAAATTCCGTTAGAAACGGATAGAACATGAATTAAATTCTATCTGTTTCTGACTGTTCTACTATGCGTTTTCGCGAAACGCATAGTAGAACAGTCAGAAACAGATAGAATTTAATACATATTCTATCCGTTTCTAACGGAATTTTTACCAGGGATCGCGCAAGAGTATCTTAACAATTGTCCTGCTTCATTTGCGGAAGTCAGCTGTAAAAGCGATTTGATGTCACGGATGATAAGCAGTCTAGCGATAAAGAAATTCTTATCGAATAACGAACGCGGCAGTGTTTCGGAATTGTCGGATATATCGAGCATTTTTTTAAGAAGAGATATTTAATATGGCTTGGCTTTATCGCAGCAATACACGATCATGCTCGGATTAACCACATTGATTAGAGATAGTCTTTCTGAGTAATTCCATTGGAGGAATATCCGTTCCGCATTACATTACATACTCGTGCAGTCATAGTTACAATTCGCTATTGTTTCTTGGAAAAAACAGTACAAGTATTTTTCTTTTAACAAGATCCAACTGTTTTATCGCAATATTTTTTTAAACATCAATGAAAGAATGTTATATCCATAGACACAGTAAATATAGACTGAGCGTCCAATTGAATAAGCTGAAGCTTGTGAAGAGAGAGAGAGAGAGAGAGAGAGAGAGAGAGAGAGAGAGAAGATTTAAGAAGACTTTCGTTCTCTGTCTTACACCATCATAAAAGAAAAGAACCGTGTCTTCGCAGTACTACACAGGCGTGATTCTCCCTTCTCGCGATGGTGAGACAGAGAAGTCTTCTTAATCTTCTCAAAGAAAGTCTTCTTAAATCTTCTCTGTCTCTCTCTTCACAAACTTCAGCTTATTCAATGGTACGCTCAGTCTATATTTGCTATGTCTATGGTTATATCACTATATTTCGTTTCGAACGGACTGATAATCGAGATATAAATAAATTGAACAAAAAATTCGAACGAGGCAAATATTTTGACTTGTTTCGATTCTTGTTCTATATGAAAATTGGGCGCGAGAATTGATATAAAGTTGATGCAAAGTTCTTCAAGTAATCTTTCGGGACATTCGCTTCACACGAGAAACAGCGAAACTTTATTGCGACGCAAAGGTAATTGAAATGCAGCCAACGTGCACGAACGAGACCGCGGTTGAATGACCAGGCAGTCGATGGATAATCGCGATAGCATCATCTACTAGCACGACGAACTTGGCCTTCCGACCTACTGACCACGATATTCCTCATATGCGCGCCAATCAATTACACGACAAACTCGATTGACGAGCGAATAACACGCTGCTCATTTATGATTTTCTTTCTTCGTGTATAAACGTATACTCCCATTAAAACACAATTTATTTTCCTTTACTCCTTTAATTATCTTTAAACGTTCGCAAGCAGTTCAGCAAAGCTTGCGTTTATATAATATAATGTAGTAGAGCAAAAATTTATACATATATAAATTATATAATTATTATATAAAGACATTTATTTAATGTTAGATACATATAATAAAATGAAGAATATAAAGCTGGAATAGTATAATACCCGGTTGAACATGCGTCCAATAATAATCTAAATATTCTAGTACTTGAGACTTTCCGCTCGAATACCTCGTAATTGAATTTATTCATAGCAGTCGAATCTCGCGAGGTAAACGAAATGGCGGGGCCGAAGGACGGGGGATCGGGGAGAAAGGAGTCGCGTATTCGAAGGTGGATATCTCTGTCGCGTCTAAATGTCATATGTAACTGTCCTGTGCTATGTTGCTGCACCCTCTCGCCTCGGGTTCGCTCAGGTCCGCACACCGCGAAAAAGAGACTTTCACTCGACGCTGCGCCGAACGTCGTCGATTTCGTATCAGAAATTACGTATCACCGATACAAGCCATGGCACAAGAATAGTTGCAGGAACGTGCTCCAATCATTTCCCTATCCAAGATGATATGTTCTGAGGATGAAGCACAGTGACCAGATAAAAAAATGCGCAGATTTTTCAAGTGCTTTAATCACAGAAGTGTTTCTTCGAAGTTTCAAGCTCAAGCCTTCGATTAATCGCCCGAGCGATTGGTATCAAACTCCAGAGGATTTATGCAATAATTTAGAGTTTGCGTGAAAGAAACTCACTCAAACTGATATCACACAATATTCGGCGAGAAATTGATCTCGTGTCGATTTTATGGATCACTCGAATCATTCCAAGGAATATTATTGGAGAAAGTAAGCAGCTAGTTAGCGAATTAACAATGTTGCCATAATAATATTTCCATGTACGCAACAAAAAAGAGCTCATCGATCGATACATGCGATAACCTTTAGAAAGTGGTCATTTTTTTAGAAACGAGATATTTCCTTATTCTAAAACTTGATAATAACAAGTTTAATAACGTTCGTTAATTGCCACAGACGCTTCCATTAACTTGGTCTCGACGGAAGAGGGTTTTTTTAGCACTGTAGAGCCATTTGGTGAATACCGAAACGCAATGTAAGTGTAGGTCGACGCCCGAGGAAGCCGTGTCGATTACATTCCGCGAGAAAAATGAATGGCATGCTGTAACGTTCCTGCGAGCGCACGCGAACGCATCGCCAAATCGACGTGGCGTCCCCGAGGCTTCAATCGTCATTTGTCATTCAAATTGATCGTTATTCTATTTTATAATCGGAAAAAGTCCCCTATTACGAGACAAGTTCCTAATATGAGATAGGGGGGGTTTCTGTCAAAGTATCAAGCATCGTCTATTGGTTCCATCACGAATTTACTGCTCTTCAAGTGAAATCTATTCAGTGGAACATTCATTGTTATATGTAGATCGTGTAATCGTCGCAAAAAAAGATTTCTGATTGAATTTTGACATTGAAAACCCGCTATCTCGCATTAGCAAATTTTCCTCTATGTATCTGTTGTTTCAAACTCGACAAATTTCAATGTTATTATTTCAATATCAAATTAAACAGCGGTGACTACTTGCTATCGTATCGGTAAGTTTAACATCCGCTGAATAATTTCTTATCACGAGATCTAATTAAAAAAAAAGACTTCGGTCAACTGTTCGGTGACACGATCGAAAATGTGACTGGGAAACCTGTGGACTTTCGCAGTCCTTTCGTAATGACTTTTCGAGCCGCCGCGATGCCTTACAAAGATGTTACACCATCTAAATCTCGAATGAAAGTAACGTAAACCCCATCGCAGATTCGTGAAATTGCTCCGAAACAAAAACTGTTGTAAGAACTCGGAAATTTACGTTATCAAATTCACTACAACTGCACAGTTTCGTGTTATCGAAATCGTGTAAGAGCAAGTATTTTGCCATAAATATCATAAATTAGCGGCGATCATCTTCTGTCATTCATCCAGTCGTAAAATTAATATATTATTATGCCAAAGATTTTCTGTGTAATTGTAGAGAAAAGTCCCCTATTATATGAGACAGGCTCCTAACAGCCGGGGTTCGACGTCAAAATTCAATCACAAATTTTTTTCGCGACAATTACACAATGAAATTTCCACTAAACAGATTTCACTCCAAGGGCAATAAACAGATGATACCTATTAATTTAGTAGCAACCCCGCTATCTTATATTAGAAACTTATCTGGTAATAGGGAACTTTCCGCTATATAAGTACACGTACATGTATGTGCGTAAAATAATGAAATTTTTACATTGACAATCTCAAATGTGCAATGTCTATACGCTAGAGTGCGTACGCTAGAGTACGACTTGCTACTATCGTTAATAATTGCAATTGTTATTTTGTCTAAAATTAGAACACACATCGCTCGGCATTTACAAGTAAACACCGACGACGAGCTCTCTTAGCATGTGTGCGCGTTTCCTCGTTCGATTCCGTACTTCCGGTACGAATGCGTTATCGCTATTATAGTATTTTCTCTTATCATTTTGCAGAAGAGGGTAATACACTTATCGGATTAACGCATAAAAAATAATGAATAGCACCGATAATTGACCGACAGCGATCAGATATATCGCAACTATAATGTTAATCTATCATTCGCGATATCAGAAAACTAACATATTCAAATGCAGTACGGTTAATAACATTTATTCCTTCCATAAATCATACATGCGATGTATGTAAATGTCGTTAGACAACTGATGTTAAGACAAAATTGATGACATCAGGATAATAATGTGCCAAAAGCACTTTTTAAGGATGCAAAGAAAAATAACGTGTCGACTCATTTGTGTCTATGCAATTTTTAATTGATATACCTTTGTCATAAATATCAGAAATTAGCGACGATCGTCTTCTGTCGTTCATCCAGTCGTAAAATTAATATATTATTATGCCAAAGATTTTCTGTGTAAAGAGACAATATAAATCTTTCTTCTTCCATATGGAGCTTCGTTTGTTAGGCAGAGGACGGATCCGTAAACGCTTCAGGTCCGGTTTCGCCGAACGTCGCTTAACTTTAATCTTATTGTTAGTTTAATTCACGTTTGTCTCTTTCTAGAGCAACAGTTGAAAAGAGACAAAAAAAACGAATTAAGCTAAGCTTGAAGTTCAGCGACGAAACCAGACCTAAATCTGTCTTATTGTTAGACTGTTAGACGTAAGACAAGGCAGAGAAAAAGTCAAGTCGTGAAAGTCTCTTGCATACGACTCGAGTACTTCTCTGCCCAGCAATCGAATTGGCGTGTCTCGTTACGTCAATGGACAATCCGACGATTGCGTACCGGCTTGACGCGGCGTGGCATGAAATCGACGAGTCGCGACACGTTCCACGCAGCTGGGCGTAATCTCGTCGCTCGATTTCACACGGTCGTGTTCCGAGAACGGCGGTCGAATTAGACACGATAACACACCTGCGCGTTACTTGACAAAATCGACGAGTGCGTAACGAGCGAGTCGAACTCGTCGCATCGCGACCACGCCACGTCAAGCCGGTGGAGAAAACGACAGCGGCGGCGACGACGTCAAAATTCGCTCTACGTACTTACCGCACATGTTATCGAAGCAGCTCGCCCGCCACGTATGTAGAGACACGAGCGGAAGGCAAACGGCAAGACCAAGAGACAGACGGTGAAAAATTGATAGAGAAGTAGGAGCGGAACGTCACTTTCGCTAGGTATAGCCGCGATACGTACGACGCACGCTACTCCGACTCTCTGAGCCGTGCGACGGCGTGCTGACGATTTTTATGACGTACGGCAGTCGCACGCGCGCGCACCAATGTACATACACGTGTCAACTGTGAAAGGCGTAGCTGTCAACGTATGCTTTCACCGACACGAGCCGACCGAGCTGGCGCGCTTATCGATCGGTTCACCGATCGCGATTTACCGATCACGCAAGCGCGACGCATCGTCGCCAAGTATTAATCTTCCTGTTACTACTCGATCGGCCGCCCGTAGGCTCGTAGCTGCTACGCGATCTACACCGGTCGAACGCACACGACACTCGCAGCGAGATCGAACACTCCCCTCGGTCGAGTCCGCTGAAATTCGGTCACTACCGTCGTATTCGTGTGCCAACTACGGTACAGAGTGTGCTACTTGACGGGGATAGTGGTCGGTAAAGCAGACTCGGGCGAATTTGGAGACGCGGACACTTGTGTAACATTGCATTTACATTGATGAGTGAGAAAATATAACCAGAGAGAAACCTGATGAGGAGCATTTTCGCTTGGCTCATTCCAGCGCCCTACGCCCATTTTCATTTTTGCAACTATACATTTCGCTACACCCATTTTCAAGCACTGCCACTTATAGTCTTCACTTAATTTCTCAAGCAGGTAATGCAGTGCCCAATTTTGTTTTGCATGCTTGAAATGTCGGTAACACGAGAGCGTTATTGATTTTTCGTAACAGTAGCGAGCGAGAAGGTATAAGAGCGAGCGAGATGGCAATAAGAACGAGCGAGATGAGATAAACACATGCGAGCCGCGAGGAAGACTCGATCTCAATCCTCGAGCCTTCTTCGCTCCCTGTTAAACAGGGAGCACACACACTTATGCAAAAGTGTGTGCGCCTCGCTTTATTCTCATCTCACTCACTCCTATTACTATGTATCTCGTTCGCTCTTATACGATCTCTTAAAAATAAATCAAATCCACAGAAATTTCAAGTAAATGTAAAGTAACAACTTAACAAAATTCAGCGATCGCACGACGATATCGATCATTGATTATTCGCAGAGAGCGATCGCGGTTTCTTCCCGCACTTCGCAAACGCGTGTCAAGAAAGAATGATACGATATGCGAAGCGGCTCGGGCATGACCGATCAATTCGACTGTCGTCGCGTACGTGAATGATCCTGCGTACGGCGCCGTAAACACCGAAAACAACGAGCGCGGTTTCCAAGAAATGACGTAGCGCCGTCAACACCTCGGTCGAAAACAATCCATTGAAATCCGCGCTCGGTTTTCGGCCGAGGTTTTTACGGCGCTACGTCATTTCTTGGAATCCGCGCTCGGTTTTTTCGGTGTTTACGGCGCCGTACGCAGGATCATTCACGCGGCGACAGTCGAATTGATCGGTTATGCCCGCGCCGCTTCGCATATCGTATTATTCTTTCTTGATACGCGTTCGCGACAAGTGCGAGAAGAAACCGCGATCGCTATCGCGCGTAGTGGCAATCGAATTCATTGTCAGTGACAATCGGACACAGTGAAAACTGAAGAATTGGCATTGGACACAGTGACGGTGACAAGTGACTTTATAAACGGAAGTGTGAATTCGCGAGTCAAGTGGCATTTGGATACAGTGTCAGTGACGAGTGACTATACAAACGGAAGTGTAAATTCGCGAGTGTGTCGGAGGACAGCTGAGACAACGACACCTGAGAGGAGGAGGCAACGGGCGCCATTGCAGAATCAACGTAAATACAACTCCGCCGCTGCGCATCGTGTCGGTGAGTGAACAGTTTTTTATTTAAGTAACGGAATCTACATTTTTAGATCGTAGATTATAGATTGATGTATTTCGTTACGTTAAAATGGATAGATTACAAATTATTTCACATTTTATTTAATATATTAAATTTATCGAAAAGAAGTGATTTCACAGAGCTCTACAAATTAAAGTATATCGAGCTCATTTTTTATGTTGAAAATCGTTGAAGTACATCATAGAAATTTCGCGAAATATAACGAATATTATCGATATATTCGGCCAACTAATCAGCTCTCGTAGCCTACCCATTTTTAATTAAAGAATTGTATATATGTATAAAGTAAAATATAATATGACGTGAGATTCCATTATATTTTGCCGAGAATGCTTAAATTTGAAATTATTTTCATACTTAATTTGAGATTATCGTAATATTCAATTATAATATCGGTGTCACTCGTGCGGCAAGTTCCTCTTTTCTGGATCTTACGTCATTTATTCTGCATGTCTCGCGATACTTTTAAGATGCGTTTCATATGAATACATGCATAGTCACACGCATCTCGTATTTTTGCGGTCAATTTTCGCGGTCGGTTTTCGCGATCAGTTTTACACAACATGTTCAACAAATTATTAATTGTTTAAAAATTACGTTCTTTCTTTAAATAACTTCTCTCCTGGTGGTGCATTTTTCGATACGATCGGCGCTCGCATATGGGTAAGAAATATCTGTCGGTGATAAAGCAATTATGGAAGGAATTTTCTTTCTTCCTGATCTCTGGTGAAAATGACCAAACTGTATGGCCAGGAGCAACGAAAGGTATGTCCAATCTGGCCCAACGAAAGAAGACTAGAAACGACAGGTTAAGTGGTCAATATTGGCCACTCCGATGGAGTATGATGTGCGGAATAAGTTGATTTGTTGTTATTTATCAAAATTCGGGTGGGTTATATTCTTTACATCTCGCATATGTGCGAGATTAACAAGACTCCTATTAAATCCCATTCGCGCGCGTATAGTCCCAAATCGGACCTTTTATAAATGGCGTCGCGGAGGAAAATGGATAGGACTATACATACATCGGAATACGGGCAGTGTAGAGATTGGAGTAGGCAGGGACAGGGGGACATAACTCGATAATTAAACAGATAGATTATAGTAATAGGGAGCGAAGAAGGCTCGAGGATCGAGATCGAGTCTTCCTCGCGGCTCGCCGGGCTCGCATGTGTTAGAGACCCTAGAAGATAGAGACTGGACAACTGGCGGAAGTGTCCACAAAATGGCCGTCAGTGCCGCGATTTAATTGAATCTTGTGCTGCTGTGTTGTGTAAGTAATATGATTTTTTTCATTTACACACAATCTCTAAATGAAAAAAATCATATTACTTACACGACACAGCAGCACAAGATTCAATTAAATCGCGGCA